GGATAGTTAAATTTTATGCTTTTGTTTTTCTAGCATTTTGTATCTGAAAGATAATATTTAATATTAATATTAAGTAGGAAATACTAATAATACTAATTTAATAGTGAACATCTATATTCTGAGTTAATTCAGAAGACCAGTTGATTCAGTAATTTTCACCTTTATAAATAGATGTAAAACTGGTCTAATAATGTGGTTTTAAGTCCTAGTAGTTGGTCCTAAAGTAAAGCTGATATTCCTACAGAAGCTTGGAGATGGAAAATATGATGGACTTGTTGGTTTTGTAGCATTGTAGCACTTACGTGTGATCTGAACTGTAGATGAATTATTAATTAGCTAAAGGTACCCTGATTATTCAGAGAGATTTAAATGTATGTGGGTTGCCTATTCCACAGATGACTGTAAAAAAGACATTGTCCAATTTCCGAAGGACACACCATGACAACTGGCAGGAACACAAACAGCAATTCACTGATGACCAACTGCTTGTCCTCACTGATCTCCTTGTGTCACCATGCTATTATGCATAGGAGGGTAAGTCGCCAAAGTTGTAGATTTAAAGATGTGACACCCTCAAGTAGATCTCATTCATTTGGTGACTGAAAAGTGGGTGTTTTTAAAGTTATGCTGACATTCTCAGCTATGACTGCTTACATAAAGTTGGGGGTGGTATTTGCTTTTTAACATGGCTTTTGAAGCTGGTGATGCAACTCAGTGGTAGAGTATGTGCATCACTTGTATGAGGCCCCTGGGTTCAATCCCAGGACCAAAACAAACATGACCTTGGCCAGGGCCAGTGGAAATAAATTCCCACAGAATTTTTTCATGCCTCGTTTGTTTTACATATTAAGTAGACAGTTTATGTGACAGCTTTGGGATCTTTAAAAATGAGTAGTGTTAGTAACCTGGGAATAGTTGTCTGCTGGGGTGTCTGGACATTTGGGGTTGCCCTGGGACTCATAGTTATAAGAACATTTATCTGGTTCCTTAAGTACTTATTACCTGTTCTTTAAAAAGGTCCAGAATTATTTTTACTGGGATAGGAAGAATAAAGAAAACCTCATTTCTTAGGTTTTTAGAGTTGAGTGTCTTGTTACCGAATAGAAATGTTTTCTTCCCTGATACAGATGGCTCGTTCTCAGTTCGGGCTCTTCTCATCAACAATTCCAGCTCCTCAGGTACCATCTGTGCTGGCTCTCTACAGGTTTTACAACTTTGCCTCTTCTGAGCTCTCATCGTTTGGTGGTTTCTGTGTCTCATTGGTCTGCGTTCCACAGGTTCTCAGCTGCCATTTAATTTCCTGACTTGTCCAAAAGTGTTTTCAGATTATTGATGACTTTTTCTTTGAAGCATCTGACAAAGTCTCAGACTAGAAATAAATTTCCCAGTATGATCATGACATCCAAGACCACAAGAATCTAGGAATTCATTAAGAAGCAGTTTTCTTGGAATGGAGAATACAGTCATACAGGATCCTGTCATTTCATTCATCTCACTTTATTTTGATTTCTTCCTAAATGACTGTTGTGTTTAAAAGGTAGTAGGGCAGTAGGCCATAAATCTGAACCCTGGAGAGCCATGAAGAGAAGGGGAAAGGAGGAGGGCAAATCTCAAATCTACGCAGTGACCTGATGGATTGCTCGGCCAACTCAGCATGAAATCTGTGCTCCCCACAAACTGGAGTTTCTGGTGCTCCATGGAGCCAGTTGCTGAAAAACCGGGGGGTTCGTGAATTAATTTTTGATTGTTGTGTGTGTATATGTGTGATTTTTGAGAATAAATGGCAACAATAAACAACCTGACTGATTGGTTTTTACCTGTATTCTTTACAAATATTGTTTGAGCCTCTTTGACAATGTTATACTTCACCAAAATGAAAAACTGCTGTATTTGTGGAAATCTTGTAATTATTTTCTTTTTCTTTGTTTTATTCTCTTCTTTAATTTTTGCCTGCAGAATTGTTGAGAAACTAATAAGGCTTGGTATTTAATTGACTTGTTTAATATATGTTACATAGATGTAAAAGATTGTATAAACTGTAGCGATAGCATTGGCAAGACTTTGTACAGATGCAGTCTTTTACATAACACCATTGTGTAATTAATTTGTAAAGATTCATATGTAGCTCTTTATTGTAGTGATTTGGGGCTTTTATACCCATTGAATGCCATTTTTGTGTTTTTAAATTATTTTCCTTATCATTCATGTTATAAAAGCTAAAATGTGGGATATCATTTATCGTTAGAATGTCTGAATTTTTATGTAACTTGTTGTGTGCATCTCTAAATGCTAACACAACATGTTTGCCTATGACAGATTTATAGAGTGCAAGGTTATCTGCTAGGTTGAAATAATTTACAAGTTGGCAAATAACATCCTGCAGCACACCCTGTACAGTCTTCCTTAAAGGAACACTAGTGTATCTTTTAGCATCTACCTGCTGAATGACTCCGTCTAAGCACAGTGGCCCCAGGACAGTATTTTAAGTGTCAGCATACACAGGCGGAATTCCTGTATAGAGTAGTGCCAAACTGATTATTTCAATTGTGTAACTAGTTTAAAACCCAATAAATGGATTGTTTTTAACACCTGGCTTTTGTCTTCATTAAGAGAAGACAGTTCTGTAGGCAGAGACTCTTGTGGATTCTTTATGCAGTCATATGTTTAAATGTATAAATTCATTCTCTGAACAAAATGAGTTATCTAGATCTGCCCTGTTCAGTATAGTAGCTACCAGCCACATGTGACTGTTTTCTGTTTGGTGATGTTTTGTTTTGTTTTTTTGAGACAGGGTCTCAGTAGTGCAGGTTGGCCTTGAACTTAACTATGTAGCCTAGGCTGGCCTCAAACTCAAGGTGATCTTTCTGCCTCAGCCTCCTGAGTGCTGGGAGTACAGGTGTGTGCCACCACGCCTAGTGTTACTTTATATTTAGTTAAATTACTTTGTTATTCTAACTGGGCACTTTTAAAGTGCTCACTCATTAGCCACATGAGGTTAGTGGTTGCCACATTGGTAGCACACATGAACTTCCATCATCACAGAAAGTTCTTTTGGATAGCACTTACCTAGACTGTTGATTTTCAAGTTGATATACTAAAGAGAGTTTGTTAAAATGTTGGTTCTTGGGCCAGGGATCTAGCTCAGTGGCACCACCCCTGCCTTACATATGCAAGGTCCTGAGTTCGGTCCCTGGTACCACACGCACACAAATGTCCTTATTGTTTCCAGCTGATGGTGTCAGTGGTTCTAAGACCACACTTGAATGGCAAGGTCTTACATACATAGGACCTCTTCAGCTTTTTCTTAGCTATATGAAACCCCCTTAGCAGTGGTGCTTAGTAGGAACCTTAAAATATGTAAGATACTGGGCGCCCTCCCATGTTTCTCAATTTAAAAATTCTCAGGATGGAGCTCAGGCGTCAGTATCTTTCATTAAAGTTTTGTGACGTTTACTTATACATCCAAGCTTGAGAACTACTGGTGGAGACTTGTAATCCCACTGTAGACCTAAAGACACGTCACTTTGTATGAATACTGAACATGCTTCCCATTGACTCTTGATACCAGGTTTGGACAGGACGTGGCTTACCTTGATATTTGCCCAAATTACATTCCCAATTGTGTAATGAAAATTTCCAACAGTGGCCTCAGGAATGAAAGGAGAGGAAAGACTTGGGTTGTAATCTTTCATAAGGCCAGATGATTGGAATGAGCTGGCATTAAAGCAATAATTTATATTGAGTCATAATTTTGATCAGAATTTTCACTCTAAATGTTAGTTCCACTTTGTGTTAATAGGTCTTTTTTCTGGTGATTGTTTTTAGGACCTGCAGTCATCATTAATAAAAACACATTAGAATAGCTGTATTCCAAGTGTTGGAGAAGTGGTGTTTGATTTATGTGGAAATTAGTTGAATTATTTCTAAACAGTTCTGATACCATAGTCAACCCTTGTACTAAATACCTGCTTTACAAATTATCCAGCCATTCTGTTCGTTGACAGAAGTAACTGGGAACTGGTGAAGAGAAAGTTTATGCATAAATTAAACTACTTGGTACTTGTTGGCTGTTTTTATAAAGAAAGACTCAGCTAAGGTAGAGTGTGCAGTAACAACATTCCCACTAAGTATTTCACCTGAATGGAATCAGCTTCCCCTTTTGAAAGTGAAGGAAAGGACATTCACATAACATCTCTGAGGATTCAGAAAAGTAGGCTCCTAACTAGCCTGGTTGGCATGCTTATGAGGTGAGAGTTTGGCGTTATTTTACACCCATAATAACAAATATACTTAGGCATGTTACTCAGACCAAAATTTAACCCAGTTTTTGAATTTACTTTGGACTCGTGTAGGTAGACTTGAGAAGAATGAGAGAGAATGGTCGTTTTTGTTTTGTGTCTTGCTTACTAAAATAAGCCTAGCTGGATACATATCACTATTGCTTTTCAAGATTTCCTTGTATTCACAGTATTAAAATTAGTACCTATGATTCCTTGGCTCCGTTATTTTATTGTCACGGTTTTTCTTTGCATTTTCCCCTAGGAGTTACTATTCTGCTGAAAGCTTCCTCAGTAAATTCACTGATACATTTTATGACACTCAGGCATATTAGTTCAAATTCTGTTTTAATGGCTTGATTTTTAAATTCTGTGTCAGGAAGCTCCAAACTGGACGATGACGCCGATTTAATCCAGGAGAAAAGTGTCATCTGCACTAAAGTGAGGAGCGAGGCAGCCGGCTTGAAAGCCCGGGAGGCCGCGACATGGTCCTGGCGCTGCGGCTCCCTCCTCTCCGCCGCTGCGCGCGCCCCTCTGCCTGTGTCTCCGCCTCTGCCCATCGCGGGGGTGAGAGTCGGTCCCAGGGCCCGCCGAGAGCAGAGCCCGCAGCAACAGCGTCTGCCCCGGGCCTGGGGGTGTGGGGGCCGGGGCCTGGCGGGGGCGGCCCGCTGTCTCCGCCAGCCGCCCCACCCGCTCCGCGCCTCGCCCTGGCCCCGGGATGCGTGCAGGCGGCGGCGATGGCCAGGCCTCCAGCCCCACACCTTCCGGGAAGATGGGGAACCGGGATCCCGGCTGCGCGATGGAGGAGGAGGGGCGCTGCGGCCCCCGGCAGGTGAGAGTCTGGGAACCCGGAGAGAGACACCGCGGGGACGGGAGGAGACCTGGAGGAGTGCTACCCCGCAGGCCGAGGACCCGGAGAACCACCCTGCGTCCACCCCGAGGGAAGACGGCCCCGCGGGGACGGGAGGAGGGGACCCCACGGCAGCGGTGCCCTAACGGGCCCCTCCTCCCCCACCAGCCCTCTGCCTCCCTGTCCTCCCTGGCCCTCCTCACCCTCAGCTTCGCCCTACTCCGCAGGCCACACTTCACTATCTCCAGGCTGGCGTGCTCCGTAGCACTCCATCCTTCCCAGCAAGTGACCTGGCCTCTGCTGGGTAGAGAGCAAGAGATTTGACATCTTTGTGACCTTGGGCAAGTTATCTAACCTCCCTGAGGTTTTCTGATTAAACAAAGACAATTGGAATAGTAATAGGGTTCTGTGGATGCGGAAAATGCCTGCCTTGAGGGAGCTAAGACAGTATGAGAGAAAAAAAAAAGTTGGAAGAATCCAGGTCATGAATTGACTGGTAAAGGTTCAGATAAAATGTTTTAATATTTACTAAAAAATTAACACTATCAAGGGCCCTTCACATGGGACATAATCACTAGGATGCAGTATATTATGGGTTCCTGTTTCTTCCTGCTAGTTACTTCAGAATCACTCCTCCAAAATAACTGGATGATGTGAATTCATTCCATCTTATTGTGGCTAATATGATCCTACGTAAAGTCTTTCTGGTTCTATGGCTTTATTTCCTACTCTTTTTTTTTGTTGTTTTTTTTGGTACCAGGGATCGAACTTGGGTCCTTGCACTTTCGAGGCAGGCGCTGGAACCACTGAGCTAAATCCCCAGCCTTTCTATGGCTTTAATTACATCCTTTGGGACTTGTTTATGGCCTCAGAGAAAAAGACTTTCACTCCATTTCCTTTATTGCTTCTAAAGTTTCTGCCAAAATCTTTTCTATTTTGTCCTGTGCTTTTCTCTTCCACCCTGTTCTCTTCCAAGCTCCCCAATTCCTTCCTTTTCCTCCCTAATTATCTCAGTAGGAGTGATTTATAATTACTTCTTAATGAAACTATAATCAGGCTTGCCAAAAAGGTAGTGCAATGTGTGTGGCTAGATACATGGCTAAGTCCATCCATAGATATATGGATAGATAGATACATAGGTGTGTATCTATATAAATAGCTTAGAATTTTGTACTCTAGGGACTTTCACTGAGAAGGGATTGCAGCCAGGGATTTAGCTCAGTGGTTCTGCCGCCTGCCTCGCAAGCGCAAGGTCCTGAGTTCGTGTCCCCAGTACCAAAAAAAGAGAGAAGGGATTGCAATACCTATTTGGTAGATTATTGTGAGAATGAAATAAAATTTGATGACTTACATAAAGCTTTCTAGTAGAAGGGCCTAGCATGGAATAACCAGCTAGGAAGTTATAGCTACTGTAATTAGCCTCTGACCTGGGTATCCTTCCTTTGATCTCTTTGCTGTATTATTTAGCGTGATGGTGAAGAATGGGGGCTTCAGAGAGAAACTGCTTAGGTTCAGATCCAAGCTCTACCACTTTATTAAGCGATCTCTCTGACTCAGTTTCCTCATCTGCAAATGGAGATGTTATACTTATTCTCCTCTGAAGATTTAATACATTAATAGTGTAGAGCCATGAGAACAGTGCTAATAATAATACTAATGAGTATATTGCCATTATTTTTGACCTAGAATTCTTTACTTTTTGGCGTTTTTTGAAACAGGGTCTCTCTGTAGTTCAGGCTGGCTTTGAACTCACTCTGTAGCCCAAGCTGGACTCAAACTCATGGGGATCCTCCTGCCTTGTCCTCCAGAGTGCTGAGATTACAGGTGTACACCACCATGCCTGGTTTAAAATTCTTCACTTTTTAAATGTATTTAAAAATTTAAAGTTTATTGAAACAAATATATTGTACATAAAGGGAAAGTTGCCCCTTGATACCTCCAAATTCTTTATTCTTCCTTTCTCTCATTGTTGACTAATGTTGGTGCCCCATCTCATTATTCCCTTAACAGCTTCTTTCCAATTACCTCTAGGCCTTGGATCTTGCTAATTTTCGTCATTCTACTTCTTCACTATTTCCCATTCACTTCTTATTTCTCTTAGTGTCCTGATTCCAGGCTTCTCATCCTCCTCATTTCACCAGACCAATTTCCTCTTTGTTCCTTTCTGCTTCCTGAGGAAATCCTTGATTAGCGGGCAGAGGGGTTGCTGTAAGACTCGAATATCTCTCTTCTCTTCCTGCCTCCTCAAATGGGGTTTTCCTTTTACTTTTCATAAATTAACCCCAATCCTCCAGTTAACATTTTTTTATAAACAGTAAAAAGTTTTCTTTTTCACTACAAAGATATCAAAAGGGTTCAGAAATAAATATACAGTCTTTATTTGGAAATCATAAGAGCTACTCATTATTATTCTAATCATCAAGAAACAGAAGTTCAAGATTTGTTTTTCTCTCCCAGAGAACATTTTTAAAGGAAAGTGCAAAATAGCCTCATTTTCCAAGGGAGAAATTCACCATGTTGTAATGATCTGTGCTGTGTGACCATTTAAATAGTAGTGGAGGCTGTCTTCTTCCTTAGTGAAAGATACCAGTTAGCTGTATGGATCTCTGTCTCAGGACTGATACTTGTCTGACACCCGCTGGCATGGCCAGGCCAGTTGTTAATTGCTGAGAGACTTCTGTTCCAGATAGTCCACTCACAACTATTGCCTGGAGCCCCCAGAACCCTTTACTGACTTGGGTTATTCTGTGCTTCCTTGATTCAGCAACTAAAGGGTGAAAGCCACGGGCCTGTGGGATCTGGCTTGACCTAGTGGTTAAATATTCTGAATGTCAGCCATGGACCTCCCTAATGCCATTGGTTGCTCCTAAAATGTTGGATTAAAGCAAATGCTTCTCAGTTGTCAAGAGCATAGCACTGAATAAATTGGTCTGTCCTGCTGGAAGCATTTTTTAGGAGCAGGACGGACAGCGAGCCATACAGGTCTTTGGGATTTGGGACAGGGTAGAAGATTGATAAGAGTGCAAATTAAATTTCATTGCATAATATAGGAAAAAAGGGTTGAGGAAAACAAGAAAGAGGAGGAATTTTGTTCTTTTAAAGTAGAGGTGTTTTTTTTTTTTTTTTTTTTATTACTGGTGATCAAACTCAGGACCTTGCACTTGCCAGGCATGCAGCAGCACCACTGAGCTAAATCCTGGCCCTAAAGTAGAGGTTGTTTCTTAATCACCTTTGTGCTTTGAGCATATAGCATAGTACTGGCCGGTGGTGTGCATATAACTAATGTAAGTTGAGGGAATGAATGCAGGAATGAGTATATACCTCTTGGTTCCTCATGCAGATATTCCTGTTGGAATAATTAATGGAAGCTCACATTTACTTACTTTAATGTTTACAGAGTGGTTCTTTCCTTTTTGTGTCCCCTTTCCCCAACCCCGCTTTCCCCAGGGATTGAACCTAGGGCCACAGGCATGCTAGGCAACCCTCTACCACTGAACTACACTCTTAGTCCCTAAAGTAGTGCTTTGCACCTTGTGAATTTCAAATACAATTGCAAACATCCTTTATTACTTTTATTTTTACCTTCACAAATGTAGTCCTACAGTTTTCTTCCAAAGGGAGATACACAATTAGCCAAGAAATCTCAAGCTGGAAGAAGAAAGAAATACTAGGAAATAAAAATTTTTCCCAGGTGTCATGGCCTGTGTCTAGATGTCCCTCATGCGGTCATAGGTGGGGCTTTACAGAGGTGGTGGGTCTAGAGTGTTTGATGCTGGGATTAAGGGTGTGATATTGGTATCAAGGGTGTGTGAAAACTATATTCCCTCTTCTTTTTTTTTTCTTCGTACTGGGGATGGAACTCAGGACCTTGTGAGGCAGGCAAGGTGCCACTAAGCTAATGCCCCGGCAAGGGTGTATAATAACTAAATTAGTTCACTGATTGGTTTGAGTGTGGATAATGGGAAGGCCCACCTGGGTGTGAGTGTTATCTGCCCTAAGGGCATGTAGCCTGGATATTATATAAGGGACAGAAAGAGGGGTACTTGTTGCTTGCTGCTTTTGCTGCCTTCTGCCTGCCATGAACTGTTTCTCCTCTGTGATGCCCCTCTGCTATGCCACCCTGCCTTGGAGTTAGTCAACTATGAACTGAAACCTCTACAAACTATGAGCAAAAATAAACCTTTCCTCCTTAAGTATCTGGTATTTTGTCTCAGCAATGAGAAAAGACACCAGGGAAAGAGATAGAGATATTGGCACTTTATAGGCACTCAGTGAAGGGCCTCATTTACATCAACAATACTCAACTGCTTAGACTGATCCACCTGCTGCTTCTTGCCTCAGTGCCTCTCCTGCAGAGATCTCCTCCCTCCTCCCAGCCAGCCCATCCTGCACCATCCCCTCCCCAGCCACCCACCTAGTTCCTCTCCCAGCTCCTGCCTAGTTGAATCTGGTTCACCTCTTCCTACTTTCATAGCACCTAGCAGCTGTACATTAGACTGCAAATACACAAATTCATTTTCTCCACTAGATTGTGATCTCTGATTTCCAGTGCCTGTCACAGAAGTGTGCCTAAAAGAAATATCTACACACCCTCAATAAAAATCTCCAGGGGTGAAGCCCAGAACTCTGCCCTCCTGGTGGTATTTAAACTTTTTAACATGACTTTTCAGATGATAACATGAACTTGTTTGAAACCATTGTCATAAGTCTAAAGTTAGTTGGATGAACAGATTGTCAAGTGTTAGTATATTTTTTTGTGTTAAACTTTGTGAAGGGATGCTTTCCATACACCCAGACAGGGCTGAAAAATTCTAATGCTTTTGTAAAAAAATAATGAGCTCACTATATTTGTTTCTTTGTGTTTTGAAATTAATCCCTTTCTGTTGCTGGGTGTGCATTTCTGTGTGCAGGCTTATCTGCCTTGGGCCTCACTCGTCACATGTCGCTCGTCTGTGAGTTGAGGCACTGACTCCCTTCCCACTGGGTATTTTTGGAGAACAGCAGGAAGAGACATTTCTCTCTGAAGATGAACTCAACAGACCCCCTTCAGGATGCTCCCAATGCCACTTCCTCACAGGCCCCTCACTCACAGGGAGGCAACAGCACAGCTGTCCAGGAAGAGCTCCAGGACCTCATCCACATGGCCACCTTGGGAACCTGCACTTTCCTGCTCGCCATCATCTTCTGCCTGGGCTCTTACGGCAACTTCATTGTCTTCTTGTCCTTCTTTGATCCAGCTTTCAGAAAATTCAGAACCAACTTTGACTTCTTGATCCTGAACCTGTCCTTCTGTGACCTCTTCATTTGTGGGGTGACAGCCCCGATGTTCACCTTTGTGTTGTTCGTCCGTTCAGCCAGGGGCATCCCAGATGCTTTCTGCTTCACCTTCCACCTCACCAGCTCGGGCTTCATCATCATGTCCCTCAAGACGGTGGCAGTGATTGCCCTGCACCGGCTCCGGATGGTGTTAGGGAGGCAGCCTAACCGCACAGCCTCCTTTCCCTGCACCTTGCTCCTCACTCTGCTGCTCTGGGCCACCAGTTTCACCCTTGCCACCCTGGCTACCCTGAAAACTAGTAAGTCTCACCTCTGCTTGCCCATGTCCAGTCTGATGGCAAGAGAAGGGAAAGCCATCTTGTCACTCTACGTGGTCGACTTCACCTTCTGTGTGGCTGTGGTGTCTGTGTCTTACATCATGATTGCTCAGACCCTGCGGAAGAATGCACAAGTTAGAAAGTGTCCCCCTGTCATCACCATGGATGCTTCCAGACCACAGCCTTTCATGGGGGCCCCTGTGAAGGTGGGTGGAGATCCCATCCAGTGTACCATGCCAGCTCTATACAGGAACCAAACTTACAACAAACTGCAGCATGGATACACCAGGAGTCCCAAGCAGCTCCCAACCCCTGCAGCCAGCCGACTCCAGCTGGTCTCAGCCATCAACCTCTCCACTGCCAAGGATTCCAAAGCCGTGGTCACCTGTGTGATCATTGTGCTGTCGGTCCTGGTGTGCTGTCTTCCACTAGGGATTGCCTTGGTGCAGGTGGTTCTGTCCAACAATGGGAGTTTCATCCTCTACCAATTTGAACTGTTTGGATTTACCCTTATATTTTTAAAGTCAGGATTAAACCCTTTTATATATTCTCGGAACAGTGCAGGGCTGAGAAGGAAAGTACTCTGGTGCCTGCAGTACATTGGCTTGGCTCTTTTCTGCTGCAAACAGAAGACTCGACTACGAGCCATGGGTAAAGGCAACCTTGAAATCAACAGAAATAAATCTTCCCATCATGAAACAAACTCTGCCTACATGCTGTCTCCAAAGCCACAGAAGAAATTTGTAGACCAGGCTTGTGGCCCAAGTCATTCAAAGGAAAGTGTGGTAAGTCCCAAGATCTCAGCTGGACATCAACACTGTGGTCAGAGCAGCTCAACTCCCATCAATACTCGGATCGAACCATACTACAGCATCTATAACAGTAGCCCTTCCCAGGAGGAGAGCAGCCCACAAACCTTACAGCCAGTCAACTCTTTTGCATTTGCCAGTTCGTACATCGCCATGCATTATCACACCACCAATGATCTAATGCAAGAGTATGACAGCACTTCAGCCAAGCAGATTCCCGTCCCCTCTGTCTGAAGTCATGGAAGCTGGAGAGGCTTGCATAAATGGTTTTGTTTCTAATATGGATTGAATTTTAGAAAGTTTTTGAGGTCAATGGCAGATCAAAGCTTAAAAATTCAGCTAAAGATTTGGCAGATCAAGATTTTCTTTTGCCTAAAATATTGGTGTCTTGATTTGCTTTATATTTTCTTGACCTTTTTTAAGATTTGGTGTAAAAGTTTATTTAAATTTTCACCCTGACCTGTACCCCAATCTTTCATATTGAACCTTTAAATAGATGCTAGGAATGAGGATACTGTGTCAAAGCAGAAAATCAATTGATTGTAATCTTTTGAATCAGTGTTATAGGTCTTCAAAGTACATATTGGCTGGATTCTTAGTTTGAGTAGTTTTTTTGTGTGTGGTTTGGTTGGTTTTGTTTGGTGCTTGGGATTGAACCTCGAGCCTCATGCATGCTATGCATGCACTCTACCACTGAGCTACACCCTCAGCTCTGGCCAGATTTTTTAAAAAAGAATTTTAAGGCATGATTTTTGCTGGGGTGTTATTTTTATAAAAATATAAAATTTGATTATTTGAAGTGCTGAAATAAAGAATAATACCCTCTTTTGGTAGCAGATTGATTTGAATAAATAACATATTGTTAATTAGAAAACCAGAAATATATTTCCTATACTTCTATCCTTATCCAAAATACTCAAATGGGAGCTAGGTGTTTTCCTTTTATAAAGATAGGCAACTAAGTATATGGTAGTACAGTATAATTATTGTGTGCCACCTTTCCTTTCCTTTCCTTTTCTTTTCCTTCTTTTTGCAGTACTGGGAATCAAACCCAGGCCCTTATGCATGGTGGGTAAGTGTTCTACAATTGAGCTACATCCCCAGCCCTGCCATTTCTTATTATAGACATTTTTATTTGGGGTCAGTTGAATAGCTGTATAGTTCTTTTATTAAAAGGAAGATGTTTTTGCTTGTTACAAGTGAATTATTCTATTTTGGAATGACCTTATCCAGACTCCTAGCATAGAGGACTGCCTCTATAGCAGAGGGGCATTATTCCAGAGAGCAGGTGCTATATGGTTGTTTTAGGAAAGAGTGTTTATAGGGTAGTCCATGGGGACTTCTGTCATGCATTTAGAAATCTTTAGGCATAGAGATGTAATTGGGAGGGTTTTATATTTCCTTCTGTATGAGAAAAGTTTATTAACCACTTGACAGTATTTAAGTAACTCTTCAGAAATGACTCACTTTTGTGTTTATATATTATAATGGTAGAAAATTGTCAAAGTGATCTATAATCAAACTCTTTTCTTTCTCTCCTACTAATCTTAAACTGGAAATGGGCAAAAAGATTAAGTATGTCTATACCCGAAACTAATTTTATTATATTCTCTGTGATTCCTAGGGTAACAACTGTGAACTCATATTTTTAATCTAGAAGTATTTTCATTACACAGGATTTGAACTCACTAGAATTTTGGAACTATAACTGTTAGGCTCAAGCATCAAGATACAAAACTTGTCTTTATAAAATGTGATATCCAAGAATTACTACTACACATCAGAAAGTACTTTGTTCCTTTGAATGAAAGATACTCATTTCACAGAGTCCTCCCTCGGGTTGTCCCCAACTGTAGAGGTCCCGAAAGGTGTGAGGAAGACAACAGACTTTCACCTCGACCTCTGCTTAGCCTCATCTGGCAACTGTTACCTTCCAGTCTTCATCAGTCATTTCTATTTCTGAGATTTAAGTGTGACGTATAAGTTTTATTTTGTTATTAAATTCACCTTGTAAGACTATCTACTCCCTCTCTCCCGCCCTTCATTCTCTCCCTTGTTTTATTTTTGCTATTAAATTTTGTAACAGAAGAGAACATAATCACTCTCTCACTTTTTTTGTAATTGAAAGCTATTTTTGGAAGTCACTACTACCTGTTTCAATTATGGTTTTGTATTTTTAATATAACACTGTTCTCATTTATTAAGACACCCTTGAGATAGGTTAGTATATTACTTCTCTTTAACAAAGAATCCAGAAGTATAATATCCTGTCCCAAGATTATTCAAAGAATTGTGGCAAATTAAGAATTAGACTTTTGTCTTAATTCAAAACCTAGTACTCTGGTAAGCTGAACAACTTTATAATTATTAAGATTATTAAGATTAATCACTTTTTAAGATGTATATATATATAGATAGATATTTTTGGACAGGCATTTCAAATGTAACTTAATAAAATGTTACAACAAAAGTAATTTCTACTTGTAAAATTTTAAATGCCATATTTCTTGTGTGACCTTTGAGATGATTTGATCAGCATGGGGCCCATTTTGGGAAGTACAAATTAGAGCATAAAGAAAACTAAGTGTGTACATATACAATATTCAGTTTCTTTATGCTCATCAAGAAATTATTGATTTAACTTGCATGAAACACATAGTGGGCTATGTTCTTAGCTCCCCTCCATAGCTATATCTATACAGATATAACTCATCTGTTCACGAGTTATATGTTTATCTATACCTATAACCATATAAGTATAGATAAACATATGTAACTTGTTTCTTCATAAGGGCTAAAATGAGAACTAAAATTAATGAGAATTTAATTGAATATGATTAATTTGCAGGGTATAATAATTAGTTCTCTTGATGCTTTACTGTGATGCAAAAGTATGTGATGTCTTTAAAATATTTTATAATTGTTCTTATGTTAACCCTTAGGCCAGATTTGTATTTCTGATGCTTTTAGTGTACTTTTAAAATAAAGTTTGGAAAATAAAATATTGAAAACTCTAACATCTTAAACATCAGAGTTCAATGTAATGAATTTCCTGTCCAGTTATTTAACAAACATCAGACCCTGGCCATGGTAATTTTTGTGCAATAGATATGTTGAACCTGGAGTGGAGAGGGAGTTATTTTCCTTACAAATAAAATAACTGCTTTCTTCTTTGTGTGTGTGTGCCGGGGATTGAACTTGGTACCTTTTGCCTGTGAAGCAGGCAGCGGAACCACTGAGCTAAATCCCCGGCCAATAACTTCATTTTTAGTGCTCTGAGAAGCTGAGGCAAGAGGATTGCAAGTTCAAGCCCAGCCCAGGCAACTTAGTCACTTAGACCATGTCTCAAAATAAAAGGGGTTGGGATGGGAACGTAGCTCAATGCAAGAGCTCTGGGTTCAATAAATAAAATGTAAGACTAGAATAACTTGTTTGACCACATTTTGTAGCATATGCAGAGACTAACCAAGGATACTTTGAAGGATTTATTACTAGACTTTTTTTCTCCGGTGGGCAGAATCCTAAATGACATTTCAATAACTTATTTAAAATAAGGTTAACCTGCAAAAATATAGAAAACTTGGGAATTTTTAGTTTAATCAAAAAACATTAATACGAACAGGAAAGGACAGTATAGAAGATTAGATGTCATCATAATCATTGGATGGTAAGGGTTCTGTGAACAAGAGTACCCAGGAAAGATTCCACAATAAACACCCCCAGCCTTCCAGCCAGAAACGCCACTACTGGGGCCACAGCCAGGAATGCAGGGAATCAGAAAGCCTTTCTTGGACTTTGGGCTTTAAGCACACATAATTTAAGTTGTCATCCATCTGCTATTACTGCCACTGCCTCTACAACAAACCCTCCTGACACCTACAAAGCAAGTGGCTGACACCAAAACACTGCTGCAGACAAATATGGTGCCATGCATTTTATTGGGAGAACCCAATTTGCATCTAGAACCTTTGGGGGAATCTGGAAAGTGTGGTTACATTAAAAAGGTATACTACAATGGGGCTGGGGATTTAGCTCAGTGGTTCCACTGCCTGCCTTGCAAGCACAAGTTCCCAAGTTCGATCCCCAGTACCAAAAAATAAATAAAAAGGTATACTACAAGAAGGTTGAGAATGGATACTGAGTTTCAATCCACTGTGTCCACAATGGCACCTCTTACTACTCCACATTTATATAGACATCTCTAGCCATACTTATAAACCATAGCAATTATAACACCACCATTGTCCCACTTGAAATAATGCAGCCTCTCTCATTCAAACAAAAACACACTTACTCTGCTTTAGAGGCAAGATGGAAACTCAGATCAATCACTATGTTATAGCGATGTTCATTGCTCTTCTAGTTCAGTCAAACAAATGCCAAGTTGGGCTGGGGATTTAGCTCAGTGTTTCCGGTGCCTGCCTTGCAAGCGCAAGGTCCCAAGTTCGATCCCCGGTACCAAAAACAAAACAAAACAAATGCCAAGTAGATATTCTGTAACCTAAGAACTAAATTATGAAGTTTGCCCCAACAAATATATCTTATATAGGACAGCAGGGAAAAACAGAGGGTTTTTATTGAAGTATTTCATAGATACACATGAATACACATGTATGATAAGATAAAGAAAAAAACATGGAAGCTGCTTGGTTCTATAACTGTTCAGGAGGCTGTGGTTGGTGTTTTGTGCCTTACCTACTCTGCTCCTTAGTTCCTCTTCTTTTTCCCTAAGCTGCCACATCATATAATCTGAGAAAAGTTCTATAAAGCAGTGAACAAAGTGAAATATGAGAAAACAAATAGGAAATATTGAGGAGGATTACAAAAGTAAAAACTGTAAAAAAAAAAGAAAATGTTTAATTCATTTATAAAAGACAAAAATCCTTGAAATAACCACATGTGGGACTGCAAATATAGCTCAGGGATAGAGTGCTTGGCTAGCACTGGTAAGGCCCTGGGTTCATTACACAGGAGCACGAAACAAAACAAGTAATATGCAAAAATCATGCAAATTTTGCGGCTTGGAAGAAACAACAAAATAAACTGATAGTGAACATCAAAAGACAGGTAAAAGTAGACAATCCTCCATGAACAAAATAATGGCAATGACAATATTAATATCAGAGTAAAACTGAAAGCAAAATCCATATTATAAAAGATAACTAGTATTAATAATAAGAGGAATGGTCAGATAATAAAGTGATAACAGTGTTCATTCATTCAACAGATATATGTTGAATGCTGTGTGCCGGGAACTAGAGATATATTGGTGAACATGAGATGAAGCCCTCCTCCCACAACACATGGCACTAGGAAGACAAAGAGAATTTTCAAATAAACAATAATGTAGTTTTCAAGTAGTGATGTTCCTTGAAGAAAAAGAACAATAAAAACTAAGATGTTCCTTTACAGAGGGAAATCAGAGACAGTCTCTCTTAGTAAATAGCTGAGCAGCATAGTAAAGGAAGTAAGGGGCTGAGTCCTACTAATGTTTGGAATGGGTGTGTTCAGGCTCAGGGAGTCGCCAGTAAAGGCCCAAGACAGGTACATGTTTGTCTAAGGAAATCAGCAAAGAGAAGTGTGAGCTAGGTGGAGGGTGGTGAGAAATGAGGTGGCTACGAGCCAGTTCACATAGGCCTTCGTGGTGCCCGAAAAGTGTTATGGATTTTTCTTCTACAGAGGATGGGATATCACTGGAAGATTGGGAGCAGAGGCTTAACAAAATAAGATATGTCAAAAACAACAGAATGAAAAAACAGCAACAACAACAGAATGCATAAAGCACAATTTGTTAGTAATAAAGAAAAACACAATCAAGATCAGACTGTAATATCCTCTAAGTCTAGGATGGATCAAGAAGACAGAAATGAGACCGGTGTCATGGTGCATGCTTGCAATCCTAGAACTTTGGAGGTGGAGGCAGGAAAATCATTTTGAGTTTGAGGCCAGATTAGACAGCCTGAACAAAAAAATATGACCCTGTCTCAAAAAACAGATCAACAAAAACAAACAAAATGACAACATAGAACATTTAAAGAAGATAGAAAACAAATGGTTAGGTGTATATACTTAATTTTTTTTTTTTGGCACTGGGGATCGAACTCGGGTCCTTGCACTTGCACAGCAGGCAATGAAACCACTGAGCTAAATCCCCAGCCCCAGGTGTATATACTTAATTTTTTTTTTTTGGCACTGGGGATCGAACTCGGGTCCTTGCACTTGCACAGCAGGCAATGAAACCACTGAGCTAAATCCCCAGCCCCAGGTGTATATACTTAATTTTATACTAACAGCAAATAAGATTTTATATTTTAGAAAGACTACAGAAAAAGAATTGATCAGACTAGACCTCAAAAAAACTCTTAATGAAATAGAAATGCTAACGCACCCTCATTCCAGTTTAATAAAAATCAACACTGTTGCACACATACATACACATCCCAAGGTCATTGGATTTAAAACACCTCTACTAAGTATCACTGTTAAGAATGAAACTAAAGGGTGGGTGTGGTGGTACACACTTATAATCCAGCACTCAGGAGGCCGAGGCAGGAGGATCACTTTGAGTTTGAGGATTGCCTAGGCTACATAGTGAGTTCAAGGCCATTCTGAACTACATAGTGAGACCCTATCAAAAACAAAAACAGAGGGCCAGGGGTTTAGCTTAGTGGTACCATGCCTTCCTGGCAAGCGCAAGGTCCTGAGTCCAATCCCCAGTGTGATTACTCAGTGAACTTAAATTTTTTTTGTTTGTTTTTGTTGATACAATTTAGATATATAATGATAACATTCATCATAGAGAATTTGCACCTGTGCATGACGTATCGTGTTTCTTCTTTTTTTTCCCATTCCCCTTGCCTCCTTTCAACCCCGCTTCCCCTCCTTAGTTACAAAAGCTTTCTTTCCTTTTTTTTTCTTCTATTCTATTTTTTTCTTGATCCTTCCTTCCTCCCCCCCTCACCTTCTCCTTCTGCTTTGAACATTTCCTTGCCATTTCTCAATATCTATTAAACATTTTGTTCCTTATTTACACTATTAGTTTCTCATACAATGCAGTATTTAAACATGTGTTTCTTAAACATTTAAGAGTATGGTCTCAAGCATTAAGCTAGAAAAATGTCTCAAGCTTATCCTTCTTTATGACAGAGTAGTACTCCATTGTGTAAAAAACCCCACATATTTATCCATTTGTCAGTTGATAGGCACTTGGGCTGTTTCCAAGATCTAGCTATTACAAACTGTGCTGCTATAAACATGAGTATGCATATATCGCTGTGGTATGATGGTTTTAATTCTTTTGGGAAGGTAGCAAGAAGGGGAATAGCTGGGTTATATGGAACCTCTAGTTTCAGTTGTTTTTTTTTTTTTGATACCAGGGATTGAACTTGAGACCTTGCACTTGTAAGGCAGGTGGTAGAACCACTGAGCTAAATCCCCAGCCCTAGTTTCAGTTTTTTGAGGAATCTCCACACTGATTTCCACAGTGGTTGGACCAGTCTATACTCCCACCAACAGTGGAGAAGGGTTCATTCTTCCCCACAGCCCCACGAACATTAGTTACTGATTGATTTCTTGATAACTTTCTGGATAGAATCTCAGCATTGTTTTAATTTTCTTATCTCAAATGATTGGTGATGTTGAATGTTTTTTCACATATTTATTTCCTGTTTATACTTCATCTGAGAAATGTCTATTTATTTCAGATGCCCACTTTTGGGTTGGCTCTTTAAATTTGGAGGGTCTGATTTTTTTTGAGTTCTTTATATATTCTAGGTAGTAGTCCTTTGTCTGATGAATAGCTGATAAAAATTTTTTGCCACACTGTGGATTATCTCACTTTGTTGGTGGTTTCTCTTGCTGTGCAAAAGCTTTTTAATAAGATGAGGTCCCAGTTGTCGATTCCTTGTAGAATTTCCCACATAGTCTGGGTTTTGTTCTTGAAGTCTTTGCCTACTCCTGTGTTCTCAAGTGTTCTACCTATTCTCTCTTCCAGCACATTTAGTGTTTCTGTTTCAATATTTAGATCTTTT